CCTCAGTGGTTTGGACTGATTTGTCAATTCAAAACCCTTTTTTTTTGTCTTGTCTGCGATATATACCCAAAATTTCTTGCAGACATACACTCATGTAGTCCACCCAACTGAAGAGCCCGGAGATGTGTGTGTTCAGCAGCACCCTGGAATGGATGGTAGTCAGAGAGACCACTGCTGCTGGAAAACCATACTGCAGAGAGAAAGCTTACTGGCGGACACAACATTTGCTACAAGGAGGGTTGCTCTGTCTAATGTAGTGCTTCCTCCTCACTGCTGTCCTGTGCCACAACGTGTGTGTGTTTGTGTGTGAGTGTGTGCAGGGGTAGGAAGAGGCGGTGGGGTCCTCCCTACGTCCCAGACAGCCAGTGCCTTACATGTGAGTTTGATCATCCCCTGCCTTAAGCTAGTATGGAAACAGATGCTATTAATGAATATAAAGGTATTTCATGCAGCCACAATACTTCATGTAACGCCTTCCCATGCTAGCCAAGATTATTATGTCATGTTCAGTAGCATTGCCTTTTGCTAACAGAATTAACAATTAAGTGCACACCTTTGTTATAGATCATTTCCCTAACAAGACCTGTTTTCACTTTTCCCAAGTTTATCATAAAGAGGAATACTACCTTAGTTTCTTCTGGTGATTTTTTAGTCTTTATTTAGCTTTACCTGTGCATCCCTTCTCTCTGCCAACAGAACTGCCAGCCAGTGGGACACATTCCTCAGCAATGTAAGGGGCACATGAACCTCTTCACCTGCCCTCCACACTGTGGCACCATGGATCATCCAGGAGAAGATGGCACGGCAAGAACACCATCAGCCCTGCCTGGACAGGGGCCAGTCGCCCTCTACCAGGGAGATCTCCTACAACCCACCCTGCCCCATGGCATGGCAGAGGGAAGGCACTGGAGTCACTGATGCTCCAAGCGGAGGTAACGTCTCACCTCTACATCTGAGTCTATCTTGCACTTAGGAAACCTCTGTAATGAAGCAGACACTGCACCCATTCACACACACAACTGGGCACAAAGTACAGAGCAGATAAAACTGCAGCACACTCCAAGAGGGACATTTCACATCTGAATTAGGCTATTATTTATCCGTGGATTTTACATTTGTTAATCAGATAAGTTTTCTCTCTCCGGTTCTCTAAGAGAACTGGCACACAAAATAGTCTCAAAACCTAGGAAATCTTAGACTTGCATTTCTCTTACGATAAATATCAGTGTGAAAGAAAAAGACCCCATAAAAATGTAGGAACCATCCAGCCCCTGAATTTAGTTTCCAAGTGGAACTCTAGTTACAAGGGAGCCAATAGGGGAAACAAATTCTGTTAAAAGATATATGAGGGATGAGGCCCGAGGGATAGTTAGTGCCAGGTTACCCCAGGGATCTTCCTTGGAGGTGAGGAGACATGCTGTGTGTTGGAGCCCTTCTAGAGCATACTGCCTCACTCATAAAACCACCTACCAGCACAATCCTCCTCCTTCCCTCAGGTCTTCCTTGCTCCAAGGGGAAGCTGGTGGTCTCGGCTCCCTCATTTGGTAGCTCCCCAATACATCCCACAGTTGTCTTGAGTTTTGGGGTTTACTTTGATACCAAAAGCTCCCAAGAGCTCTTTAAATACTACCTTGAAAGGCTGCTGAAAAGGAGACTGAAGCACAGGATGCTGCAAAAGAAACCTGCAAAATACAGACAAAGAAACAAAACAAATGCCTCTCCTGAGGAGACCCATCACCTGCAGAGGTTTCATCTTGGCACAGGATTTGAGGTTTTCAAACAAAATGGTCTGCTGGAACTGTGAGATAAAAGACAGCTATAGAATAGCTGGACTGTGTTTCATTAACACAAAATAATTTCTCTGGAATGGGCAATTTGGTCCATTCACCAACTTCATAGTACATCTCCCTTTAAATTTTTTCTGAACCATTCCAAATAAACCCGTCTACATGTTTTCTCTTAATGCAATAAAGAATAAGACAAAACCCCAAGATAATCATAACAATTGTTAGAGTAGAAAAATAGAGGAATTACCATGGTAGGAAAAATACGTTCTCTGCCAGTATTCAGGTAAAAAGCTACCAGGAAGAGGAAGCATTGGGATGCTGATCCATTGCAGACACCATGTGCAGCTGGGGTTCACACAAACCCCAGGTATAGTTAAGACCAGTTGCTTAGCCTACATATGAAATGTCAGCCCTGCCACAGCAGATCATGTTAGGGCACAGACCTCAGCCGGAAGAGATGGATGTGCCACCAACAGGGGATGTGGAAGATCCACCAAAGGGTGGTGAAGTAACTGCCTGTGTGTGGTTAAAATGACCACTCAGACCTCTCTTAGGATCAAGGCTGGGGATGTCAGCTCCATAATGTTCACCTTACTAGAGTCTGACAACATCCGTTCTGTACCTAAATCTGTGCCCCACAAATAGTTAACGTTGGAGAAGAATCCCCAGATAAAACAAGGAAGAGCTGCCTACTGTGTGGGCATAAATTTCAACATACCACCTTTCTGCAGTGTGTGCAATGCTGCATCTGAAAAACACTTCATCCAGCTGAAAAAAAAAACCTAAACAGTTCAAGACAGTGTGAGTGTAAACATATTCCCATAACACATGAAGTAGGGACAAGTGGACAAGTACTTGACTACGTGAGTTTCACAGCTTACTGGGTGTCATTCCCAAAAGCATCTGTCACCGCCACTGGCAATGGATTTTGAAAGCAACTGTATTTTGCATCTCAGAGTTTAACAGGATCTCACAACTGCCAACCAGCTACCTAAGCCTAAAGACCTAGGAAATGTGCACCTTCCCTCTCCAAACCTTGTCCTTAGCTATATTATCATTGACAGGAGTGACAGTGTTGCTAGGTTGGTGTGAAACAGCAAATTCGCACAGAGATCTGCCTCGTCAGATCAGCACTCTCTGCCTGAACCTTTCCACAATTCTCTTAAGAGCATTTTTTTATTATTATTTTTATGTATTTTTTTTTTTTTAATACTAAACACATTCCACTCGAGGTTTGCAAACTTTTACCCATTTTGGCAATTCCAAATTAGCAAGTACAGGGTTAGAAAATATATTGTTTCTTGCAAGAAAAATGGTAACCACTTGCCACCTCCACGCTGAGATGTAGGTACAGGGGAGGTGTTTATATCAGCTAAAAGTCCAGAGTTGGAGGGGGGTGGTGATGGTGGGGCTAAAGAAAGTAATCTCTTCGTGCCACTGGGAATTTGGCTGCAATAGAATCAGTATTTACTCCTACTTGCATATTACTATTAGATGTGAGAAACTATTGCACTGGGGGCCATATTAATGCATAGCAAGCCAGAATCCATATCCTGAAGAATGCAAAGATTAAAAGAAAAAGGATGGGGAAAGAATGAACACCCAGAGAGGTCAAATTAACTGGCCTGAGTTCAGTGGCAGAGTCAGAAACAAACCCCAGATTTCTCTTCCCCAGCATTCATTCATCTGAAATAGGCTGTTCTCCTGTAGAGGCCCATTTGGGAGCTGTAACTGAACTGTGGAGAGGAGCTGTCCCTTAGCCAGAGATAAGGAAAAAAATTAGAATTTAACCATGGACAAAAATTACTGGTTTTGAGTTGTTTTAGTCTACTATCAAAAATTAAACAAATGGCAACTTTTATATTAATTCAAAAAGCATCTGAGTTTATCCTTGCCTACCTACCTGCAAAATCATAAAGATCAGTCACTGGGTTTTGTAAGAAACTACTAACCTAAAGTTGCACATTTTTATCCCAAAGACCCATTCTGCCCTATCAGCAGCATTATATCAGCTCAAACAAGAGAACTTGGGCGAATGCGTGCTAGAGGCTTCTGCTGGTGAAAGCATATTATGAAGGGGTGTAAAATGGTGTGATATCCTACCATCTTGGCCTTTCCTGAGGCTTTCTCAGAGGGAAACAGCAGTAAAAGGCAGTCCTGCACTTATAGTCTCCCTCAGAAACGTAGGGAGAATTGTTATTCCAATCACCTGCCCTGGCTGAAAACCCATAAAGCTACTGGACAAGTCCAGGACAGATGCAATAACTTCTCAGCATAGGTTTGTTTGACACAGATGGGACAATCCAGGCAGGACACCCCATGGTTCTGACAACCCAGGAAAATCTTACGGTGCCTAAATACATGAACCTGTTTCTGCAGTGCTCAACTCTGGGATGTTTTGTCTCCAAATGTGCAGAGACCCATTTTGATGCCCCTGTGAAGGAGGAGAAAGAGGGAATTGAAGAGTCTGAGGAAGTGGCGTGGTATGTTGGGTTGATTCTTACTCAGCAGCCCACATTTCCTTGCTGCAAACACCGCTGGTAGGTGACAGAGTTAATGGTTGGGCTGTGGCAGCCAAAGGGCTGTGAAACTGCACAGATACTTGCACACATCTCTGTCTGAAAGATGTATTTTTGTTGCTGATGTTTCTTCTTTTACTGACCTCACCTGGAGTATTGTGTGCAGTTCTGGTGTCCTCAACATAAAAAGGACATGGAACTGTTGGAACAAGTCCAGAGGAGGGCCACAAGGATGATCACGGGACTGGAGCACCTCCTGTATGAAGATAGGCTGAGAAAGTTGGGGCTGTTCTGCCTGGAGAAGTGAAGGCTGCGTGGAGACCTCATAGCAGCTTCCAGTATCTGAAGGGGGCCTATAGGGATGCTGGGGAGGAACTCTTCATTAGGGACTGTAGTGACAGGAGAAGGGATAATGGGTTAAAACTTAAACAGGGGAAGTTTAGATTGGATATAAGAAAGAAGGTCTTTCCTGTTAGGGTGATGAGGCACTGGAAGGGGTTGCCCAGGGAGGTTGTGAATGCTCCATCCCTGGCAGTGTTCAAGGCCAGGTTGGACGAAGCCTTGGGTGCCATGGTTTAGTGTGAGGTGTCCCTGCCCATGGCAGGGGGTTTGGAACCAGATGATCTTAAGGTCCTTTCCAACCCTAACTATTCTATGATTCTATGATCTTGATTTTGGGGACAGCTGAGAATACAAAGTACTATTAGAGCATATCTTCCCAAACACTGTTGTACTAACATCAGTTTCTACCCTATGAACATGAAAAATATAAAACCTGAATCGTCTTCCCAATGTATGAGTCAGAAGCACACTCTTTCTAAGTATAGAATGGAGAATATAGGTTGCACTGTTCACCACTCTTCTTTCCAGGCTGCGAGGCATTATTGTCCATTTAAAGTACATAAAAAATTAAAACGTGTATTGGAAATCACAAAGAATTTTTCTTCCTAGCAGCTGTATAGCAAGTTAACACTTCAGTTTTTACAAGAGGTTGTCTGCACTTATTAGTGGTCTTTGGCTAAGTTGAGACTGAAAAACTAGGTTAGAAAAGAGCAACCTCTGCTGAAATCAAAACGATGTTTGTAGTAATTGCCTAATGATGTTTTTTCTACTTCTGTGCTAAGAACTATAGCTTGGATTATACAAATGCTTTACAGGGGGGTAGTAAATGGTCATTCTCTCTGCGGATTTACAAGATCAATCTTGGTAATTTGTTAGTTACAGTGTATGTAATGTGATATTATTGCTCATGTTACACAAGAGGATTACATGGCTTACTAAATAAAGCAGTGGTCTTTACGTTAGGGACCATACTTCCTTCCAGACTGATGCCTAGAAAAGTGAAATTAGATTGGTGATCTCAGCCTTAAGACCATCTCTGGTGAATATAGACTGAGATCCCCAAATGACCAAACACAGCAGAGTCAATCACTCATCTCTATGTGCTCACCCCTAACACCTGGATCCCAGATTCTTACACGCTTTTTATTCATCAGCTATTGAAACACACGCACTGATGTGTGATTTTTCAGTGCAAGATTTACCAAGTCCTAGATCTGTGCCTATGCTCCTGTTAGTTTATTAGGGGTCTGTGAAGTTCTATTCAGGTTGTGTAAGGGTACATTGAGCTACTCTTTTTAATAGGCTTCACATTTTGCTGTTTAAAAATCCATCCATATTTCACCGTTGAATTTCAGGGTGAGGATATATTACTATTACTGTGTTGGATGGTTGATATAAATTGGAGGGAATAGAAAGAAAAAAGAGCTATTAAAATGTGCAGTTTTGTTTGAGTCCAAGTTTGCTCTTTACAACGTTTTTCCTCTTGGAAGTCCTTGCTTTGATATTCCACTGCTCAGGCTAAAATCCTTTTTTCTTAATTTACTTTTATTTTGCTTCTCACAGATTAAATCCTTTTCCTCTGTCCATGAAGGGTGCATCTTTTTATTATTTGCAGACCGTTCTCTGTCCATAGATATCTTACCTCTCCTTTCCAAGGCTAATTTTAACACTTCTGAGCTCTGGCTAGCATTTCAATAAATTTCAAGTGAAGTGGGTCCTACAATTGAACACAATACCCCAGATGTAGCTGATTAAAAGAGAACCACCTAGGATCAAACCATTAATGTTTATCTTCCTTTGGTTATTTTCCCCATTCTGAAGTGTTTGAATTAATTTTGCATTGACTAAAACAGCTGCACTGACAGCTTTAAGCCTGCCAGTCTCTCTTTATCCACAGAAAGGTAAAGCTCAGCTTTGCTGTGCCAGTCTAGATCAGCCCTGACTACGCAAGACCATATCTGTAGCTGACTGAAGAGTTGTATTTGAGTAAAGTCAGCCTAGTCATAGACCTCTCAACACATCTACCAATCCTTTGCATTGCAAACTCAGTGGGGAAATGAATAATGCTCAGAATTTTCAGAAATACTTAGGGACTCAAAGACATAGGGCACATCTAGAACAAGGGCTGACCTGAACGTCAACCCAAAATCATGTATCCAGGACTCTTTTCTACAGCAAGCCTCTTAGAGTAACTCCCAGCATTAAGAGTGCATAAGCCCAAGAAGCCTGGCATCTGTACTCCCGTATCCTCTCTTTTCCCTTTAGTATAGTACATTGAAACACTGGAAGTGTTTTGTGGTACCAGTCCCGCAAAATCCCTTTTCCTGGTTTCAGGAAGAAGTCGCATCCTGAGACTTTTCTGTGAGCCAGACTTGGAAGGGCAGACGAGCTGTCTATCTGCTAGTGCCAAAACCTCCCCCGTTTAGCTGCCTCAGACTGCTTGAGGATGCCCATTGGTGAAAGCTCTAAGAATAAAGGGGCCCTAAAGCCAAACAGTGGAAATTTGGGATGAGATTTGTTAACATTCATTTGAAAAACATCTCCAGTCCATTCTGTGCAGCCTTTTTAAGTTCATACACACTTCTGAGGAAGTCAGCTCTGTGACACAACTGATATAATGAATGAATGATAAATATTAAAGAGCCCTCAGTACATCTTCAGGCTCTACTGAGAGAGGCAACAAGACTACCATTTACCTGACTAATTGTGCTTTTCAGATGAGACAGCTGAACTATCAGGAAGGGAGATGTGACTGCCTAATCTTCTTAAGACGACAAGAATGGCTGTAACAAATCACTGACTTCTGGTTACTGTTGACTAAGACTACTTGAACAAATAACTTATAGATCCAAGTATCTGCATCCCATTGGCAAGTTCCAAAAGCCACTTGGTCACTTCACCACGAATGCTGCAGCTGTCGTGCAATGCAGCTCTAATGAGTAGTTTCAGCAGCCTTGGTTTGGCTTTGCACTTTGCTAAGACACAGGCATGTTAATAGGCAAGGGATGGGTAATTTGGGGGATGTTTTCTGCATTTTTGTTGCTGCTAAAATAGAATGAAAACTTGCTGTAGTTTAGATCAGGGGAAGGAATACCAGCCCCTCAGGCAGAGAAGGCATGTGGCTGGGTCACTGCTCGGAGCTGTGCTGGTTCATGGTGGCTGCTATCACCAAAGCATCTCCCTGCATAGGGCAGCACACGAGGGGCACAGGCCTGAAAGAAATCTGAAAGAAAGCTGAGGAGCAGTTGGACATCTGAGACTAAAAGAGGCAGAGGAGGTGAACCCCTCTTAGACACCATTGAGGCTATTGGTGATCCCCAAATAAAACAAATGTCAGGGAAAGACAGGGTGGGATAGAAACCCAGCTCCAAAAGAGGTCAACTAAGGTCAAACAGGATCAGTTTCCCACTGCTTATTATAGATAGAGATCCCAGATGTGTAATTCAGCTGGCAAGCAGAGGAGGAGCGAGGCCATCCTCCTACAATAATTTACTTAAAAGGATTATTGATTTATGCAGAAGAGATGTGGGAGTGAGAGTGACAGAGATCGGGAATTCTGCTCTTTGAGATGCTCATAAGGGAACAACGAGCTTGTGTGACTACTGGACTCAGAACTTATAAATGCATTTGTCAGTGCAGTTGCCCCCATTCCCAGATTTTTAACTCTAGTTCAGTCTTTCCCCTCTGTTCACAGGTACAAATGCCTCTGGCTTTCTGGAAGTGACTAGAGCAGAACTGACTTGCTAGTTTTTACCCTAAGAAACTGTTGGTAGCCTACAGGTAGAAATCAAAAGCTTGTCAGTTGGGATTTGGGTAAAGTAAGACTCGTAGGCGGTACAAGTGCTCAGATCTGCAAATTAGCCTGGTTTTTGTACTTCTCTTGCTTTACCAAAAAATCTAGAGTGAAACTTGCCATTCTGGGTTATTTCCCCATCAATCACACAGACAAATGGAGCTTTGGGCTCACACCTTCGGGTTTTGTTTCCAAAATGTCTGCAGAGAACGAAGAGGCAGCTCCTGATCATTTGGAAATCGTTAATTACAGTGTTCAGAAAGTCAGTTCAAATTAACTGACAAAGGTAAAAATATGCAAGTTTTTTTTTTCCTATGAAAAGTTGGTGATTAAGATTTTCGGAGGGGAAACATATGTTAGAGCCCAGCCAGTATTATTTACATATTATTATGTTATTATCTCAATTATGACTTGTTCAGGGACGTTTACTTACTGTGAAATTATCTACAACTGTGGGTTTTGATAATTGCTTAGTGAAAAATTCTGTGTTAGAAAGCCAGATTCAGTTTTCTGACAAACTATATCTCATAATCAAACTCAATTTATAGTATATAAATTGAGAGAATTTCTCTGTTGTTTCCACACAGGATATAAAGAAACCGATATCTCCAAGAGGGCAGAACTGCTTCTAACAGCGACAAGACATTTCCAAAAGGTATTTCTTTTCCAGCACCATAGAAAAGCAGGTTGCCAAGATGAGGCAGGCGGCATGCATGGGAAGATCTTTCCCTCCAACACATTTTCTCCCAAGGGCATCACACGGCAATGTCCAACACACTGTAAAAATACACTTCCTTAGTACATGTGGAGCTTCACCTGACAAGTTCTGGTACAATAGTTTCCCCTTTTGCAGATGGGCTTTATGGAAAAGCTCTTGGCCAAACAGCACGTTGAATATCACCTGACTGGAGAGCCTACCCATAGAGGCAACTCTCATGCCTATAGAGTAGCAGAGGACTTCAATTCCAAACCAAGTATTTTCCCTTTCAAGCAAGGTATTTTAATGTCTTTATGAACATAAATAAATACTATAGAACGCAAACACTTTGTGAAAGAAATCTCACATGGTCAGAATTAGAGCTTTGTGAATGATTGGATTTTTGGTAGGCAAATGAAAATTTTAGTAGGGATAAAAATAATCACTAATTTTCAGTTTTGCTGAAGTTTATCTACTTATTTGTTTGTTGCACTTATTTTTGGAAGATAAAACTACAAACCAGCAAAATCTCCTGTTCATTGTAAACTTTGGTTATTGGCATACTCTATCCGCGACACAGCTTCCACAGCCTGTGCTGCTTTCCATAATGGCAGCAGAGCTCAGAAGAGACGACCACAAAACAAGGGTAATTTAAAATACTACTGTTGAAAACGTCTTTCAGTTGAACTCTGAAATTCCTGAGACGTGACCTCTATGGCTAATTTCAAGCCTACTGATTGGGAAGGAACTTCTTAAATCATGGCATTCATAAGAAATAAAAATCTACATGGAATGAGTCCAAGCAAATGTTTTTTATATACAGGCTCAAATCTAGATTTTGAAATCATGCAAGACTGTTGAGTGCAATCAGTTATTACTTCCTCAGAAACTCCATTTTCAAGCAAAAGCCTATTTTATAGAAACTTCCAACATTCAGTGACCTTTCACTCAAATTATGCATTCAGGTTATATGAACACAAGCACGGAATTTAGAGTTTCATTTAACTATATGGAATAACACAGGTACAATGAACAAATGCAAACCCCAAAGCTAAAGGTCAGACCCTGCTAAACATATCACTGCTCATACTTCCAGGAGCCCCCTTTGGAAGGTATGGGACCTCTGAAGTTTTTGCTATCTGGTCCTCACAACGGGGCGCAGGGAGATTTGTTTGTGTTTTAGAAGTTAATCAGCCTTTTGTGGCAGTAACTCTAAAGTGAAGTGTTACCTGGTGTGCCAGGAATGTCCTGTTTTCTTTTGAGGGGAGCCTGCCAAGGTACTGCGTTACCATCATAGGCCTTTCATAACCGCTCACTATTATCAGCTTCTCGGTTTCATCTCCTGGATCAGCAGCAGTTTCTTAAAAGTGTTTATTTTCTTTGCTAACCTAGCAAAGGGCTGTCACAGCACATTGGATTATAGCAGCAAACGGGCCAACTGGAGCAGCAGGACTGCTCACCCGTCCCCAGCCTCCCATATCCTCATGGAGGTGTAGCTGGAGGTGCACTGTAGGCTGTCTCACCTACAGAAGGGGAAGGAAGATAGGCTACAACTTTCCATGGCATGTATAGGTTTTATCTCTCCTCTTTGGCAAACCACTGCTGCCAGGGATGGTGCCCATCCTTCAGGGATTGATAAAATACTGCCCAAGGGCAAACAATTTGCTGTTGCACTGCACCAGGCTGCAGCAGACAGGAGGTAGCTTAGCAACATTTTTCCCAAAGAAGGATGACTTCATTGCCTTGTAACAAAAACTGAAATATTCTTCCTCCGCTTCATGCTACAAAAAGGACTGAAGCAGACCAAACAAACCCTGCAAACTCTGTATAAGGCTGGGAAAACCTTTCCAGTCACAGCCGCAGAAGAGGACAGCTGACAAACCATTTGCAAGTGCCAGTGGAGACAGTTGTAGCTGGTTTGTCAGAGCTGGATGTGAAGTCTGGGTTGCATCTACTGAGACTTGCCTGGGCAATCTCTGCAGTGGACTGGGCGGCCTGGGGCATCCCCTGCAGCTGAGGCTGTTTGCACTGGGATTCTCTGCCCCAAGAGCCTTGCTGGTGTGCTGCCTCCTCTGCTTCAGTATCTGTGCTGTGTGCTGCTGCCACAAGGGCTTCTCCCACCATGTCCATGTTGCCCATGCCTGGGACATAGGCTGAATTAACTGAAAGCATAGCTCCATTCCCACTGGGCATCTCCCCTACCAGAACCAGGCAAAACAAATGGTGATTTTGCACTTGTAGCTGATTGTTCCACTAGATAAATTTCTGAGTGAAATGCCCCTTAGGTAGGGGCATTGCAAATCATTGCGTGGATCAGTCTAAAACTGAGAAAAACCTTGGGGTTGAGTGGCCTCTCCACCTCCCCTCCACCTAAGGAGGGACTTCAGTGCTACACCTGAAGGGCATCCCCCAAGGTCCCCATCCTTATCCCTCCCAACACACACAGAACAAACCACCCTGACACTGCCTGTGGCACAGAAGACCTCAGCAGGCAAAGAGAAACTTTTTACATGTCCAAGAGCTCCTGCATGCAGCACTTTAAAGCAGGTCAGAAACGCTTTGTCTCACCGTTTCAGACTGATGCTGTCACCACTGCGTGCTCTCCGTGTAGAATCAATTAGTAATAGGCAAAGTCTCTAGTGGCTCTGCAGAGGCGGATTTTCTTCCTCTTCTGAAACACCGTCAAGGTTTTCTCATCAAAGGATTACTCCTATGACAAGAAAGCAATGTAATTTAATATAAGCTGAGAAGGAAATGGAAAACTCCCCCACCTGAGGCTAAAGCTGGGACTGCTGTATCTGGAAACACAGTCATATAATCTCCTAAATGATTTCTCACCTCTGCCTCAAAAAAAAAACCCCAACTCCAAAACAGCTCTTTCAAAACACCCTTCCATAGCGTACATGTGTAAGGGAGAAAATTAGCTTAGGTCAGTCCCATACTCTCTAGCACAGTTAACTCCCTATTTCAGATACAGTTTTGTTATTTGTCATGTATAGAAAGATGAAAAGCATTACAGATAGAAGTTTTTCAGACCTTGCTTAGACTCCTTTTAGACCCTGTTTCCAGTTACAAATTAGAAGCCAATAGATCTGTGCAGTTTACAGCAGTGAATTTCTGACCCACTGAGTTCTAGAACAGGAAGCAGGTTTATAAGATAAATGGCCACAAATTCCCTATTACTTGGCATATTTTTTTAAGACGATGCATTCTTCTGACAGCACAGCACACTTATTATGGGCACCCACATTTCTGTCACAAATATTTTAGTGAAGTAGCCTTTTTAAAATATGATATCATTTGTGGATGGCCATGGACTTGTTGGTGAGTGTCTATTCCTTACATTAGGCTGCCTGATGGCTGTATCCCTTTTTCTTCCCTCCCTCCAGCTCTTTTGCGGTCACGTATTTTATTTACCAAACTAGCTTGTGAGAGCTGGAGGAAAGGTACTGTCTGTGCTTTGCTCATACAGAACGGATTCCAGAGACGTTTTAGTACTATTCAGAAAGAGATCTTGGCAGGCCTTCCCCGCCACGGTAATTCCCATAGGCTTAAGGCTTCCACTCGGACAGAAAGAGAAAAGCAAATATGAGTGAAGGAACAATTTTCCTAACTGGTTACACTTTCCAAGTGAACTTATGCATGAAACTTGTGGCTCTCGACATTCTAACCTCCTTTCATAGAATAAAACATTTCCTAGACATGGTGGTTGCTTCCACTTGGGTGCTGCTTTCTCACACTGCCCATGGTTTCACAGTCAAAGTGCCTTTGCTTTCTTTGCTAACCCTGCACAGAAGGCAAAGGGGCTCAAGTCTTCAGCAATCTGGATTCACATGAGTGTTGGGGTGACAGAAAGAGCAGCTAGAAGAGAAAGCAAATAGAAAATAATTGGCACTAAAAATCATCATCACCATCATAGCCCTGCCAGGAGAATTAAGGAGAGACAAGGCAGAGCTAGCAACAGGAGAGCAGGTAACAGGGTGTTTTGCCTACATCAGGAGGATGCAGAAGAGCACCCCCTCTCCCACATGGCACCACCACAGGCTAGGACCTCGACGTCCCTAGACTCAATTTCAGCTAGAAAAGTGCTGAATCAAGTTTTAAATACCTTGCTGTTCTTAGGTACTTTGTGTAAGCCTTTTTTTTTGTGAGGAGAAAAGATTGCCAATAATTTGGTTTTCAGAGAGAGACTTCAAATTCACCAAAGACTGAGGGTGTTCAGGTCTGGATTTCAGATTCATCCGAAACTTGTACGAACCCTGAATTGAGCCTAACTGAGCCTTTAAAGAGTTGTGTTAATTTTTTCCTCTATTAGAAGTGGCTCCAGGTGAGAGCACCAAAATGTCACCAAGGAAATTCTTGCGGCATTATTTCCACCTTAGCTATAAGAAAAAAATACCAAAAAAAAACCTAATCATAAAGGCTGAGAAAAAAAAAAAGACTTTTTTCTTTTTAATTATTTTTTTTCTTTCCCTCTTTCTCTTTTCCACAACAAAATAACACTGGCGAGTGGAGAGTGCTTTCCCAGTGTGTTCCCAGAGGAACAATAGAGTTGCCTACGGTAAGGGCAAACTTTCTTGGACAGGAGACACAATTTCCTTTGCAGCCTCTGCAGAACTACAAAAAAGCTCTGCTGGATGCAGGAACCACCAGCCTTATTGGCTTTCCACTCCAGGAGTAAGATGTATTCCTACAATCAGAAGTTTATGTAAAAAATAATAAAAGAGCACAAAAATCACGTAATGCAGCAGATATGAAACAGCCCTGGGGAGATGGATAGAAACTTGAAAACAGCAGACCTGATTTAGTGTCTCTGCAAGTTGTTCAAGCGATCGGTCCTAAAGAAACATATGGCTGAAGAGGACATTAAGGCCTGGCCTTAGGGATGACCCTACCTCAGGAACAGCACAGAAAGGAGGAGATAGAGGTGAGAAAAACAGAAATAAAAGGGGTTACAAGACTGGCTCCATTTGAGGGCATTATGTTATTCCCATCAGACTGTTTCCTCTTTGGTTTTCATACTTGAGAGGTTGGATAAGCCTTGGACAAGCCTCTGACCTTTTAAATGCTTAGCTGAAGCTGGAATGCCAAACCTTTTGAAGCTGGTCCATCACAAACACTAACATACAAACAGCTTCCGCATAAATATAAAAGGCACAAGGCACAATTTATAACAATGTCAGTGTGCCAAAGAATACTACTGAACCTGCCTAAAGATGGTTTTTCACATGTACCACACACTGAAAAGTAGCTAGACTAGCTCAAGGCTGCATTTAGAAGCTTTTTACTACATCTATCATTGCTTTATTGCTTCAGAAGCAGTGTGCAAAATTCAGCTGTTTCACTTCGCATCAGATTGCATTGGCACTTCCTTCAAACTTCAGTTCCTGAGTTAGTAGCCTAACAAATCAGCAGGATTCTCCTGAGGTCCAGCTATTAATATTTATGATTTGTAGTCAGAAGTTCAGCTATGCTGTCTTTGTGGCAGACACATTACATTAAATAATTTGCTTCAGATAATGGATATTGTTGCATTCTGGTTGAGCTAAGAGAGCTGCAGGAATTCAAGATTACTTACTAGATTCACATGTAATATTCATAAGGCTTCTCCTTTCATGATATCAGTGTACTTGTAAATTCCAACTCAGATATTCTTCAAACTACTCAAAACTCATGTGCCATGGAAGCACCAGTGACTACAAGTTTATAGGCACACGAATACGAGGTTATAGGCACACTTTCACTTAAAAGCAATAAAATAACTATTGTTATTCAGCAGGAAGATGCAAACCACACCTTCTACATGCTTTTATTATAGCAGTCTCACTAGAAAAAGCTGTTTACCCTTGCTTTCTCGTGCATATGTCTTCAAGTTCCAGCACTTCACATGGACTTTGTGCCATCAAGGATTAACCACACTGTTGATGCTCATTCATCAGTCCAGTTACTCTACATTTCTCGACATTCTGCAACAGCTATCAGCCAGCCACTTGGATGAGTAGTCCAAGAAATTACAGTGATTTGGGCAGCAAATATAATGCAGTTACTGGGAGGAAGTTTAGGGAGATGTACTGGCAAGATTAGGGGAAGAGCATTTCCTATGATTTTTCTGACCACCACATTAAAGGTTATTATACAATATTGTTAAAACTGACTTGTAGTCTATTTGCAATTGTTTTGTACATATAGCTATGAACACTGAGCTCGAAAACCTGGGCACTCACAGGGACAGTGTGTCTTTTCCCTAGAAAAGTACGGTTGACTGAACAAGATCCATGAAATTCAGAGATATGCTTTGCAGAACAACTCTAACTACCCCATCTGTGCTCTGCAGTACTCACAAAATACTCTTTATGTTCTTAGATCTTTTGACAGTATATCTGAGCAACCGTCGTTTGTAGCAAACGATAACATAGACAATACCAACCTGTAAAAGCTTCAGTCATGTAACATTCAATGCATTCAGGTTATCTTCTGTTTGCTTGAAGGCAAGGAACTATAGATGATTTCACCTTGAAACACGTTACTAGTGATTTTAGCTAGTTAAGTATAAGATGATATCTAAGCATGTCTTTTTCTTAATCTTCAAAAACATAGGGCTTACATGCTGGGTTAATGCATGACACAGCGCAAGTTTGGCATCTATATCTCTTACCTTATAACAAACAAATGTGGCTTCTCATGGGAAACCAATAAAGCCTGAATGACTTGCATTTCTTTCAAGGGAATTTTGATATATTCATTTGTCTGACCTGCTATCCAGAATGCTACCTGTACTTTTCTCCAACTTGGCCCCTGCCTCAAGAGGGAAAAGGGTAACTTGGGTGTTGCTTATTATCTACTCCTCCCCAGACAGGGTTTTTTACCTTTGGGCTCTTTCACAAAGTCATCCTGGATGCCAAAAACCAGAGGAAAGTTGCAAGTACACTGCAGTAGCAAGAGTACATCATAAGTGGAGAGGGACCCGAAGGAATATCATTGTTAGGGCAACCATTAAGCAAGACTCCTCTCAAGCATGTATGTATTGAAAATGCATATGAGGCTCCAGACTTCAGTAAATGGTTGAACAAGTTTACTGACATGACTCATTCTATTGCTATGTCTAAAACAAATCAATTTCAGCTATTCAGCTTTGATGAACGTTAAGGTCACAGCGACCATAAAAACCAAAAAGGCACCTGAAAACATTAACAACATGGGAAAAATATGGAGTTTAGCTGAAAATAAACAGAAGAAATTTCAAAACAAAGAACAAGTTTATTTCTTCTTTCCCAGAAAGATTACCTTCTCTCATAAAAGGAGCTTGTTATTAAAGTTCCTTTGCTTCCCCAGGAATGATATTGTGGTTCTGTAACACTGTTAGACTGGTCAAAGCTTATGTGGGCCACAGAAACCGAGGCAATGACAGTGTTTATGAGAGCTGGAAGCAGGAAGAGGGTGAGAAAGATGAGGAGAGACAATATTAGTCATCTACAAAAGGAAGAGCTAGGCAAGAGGGCAAAATTGCTGAAGGGTAGATAGAGCTAGTAGTGCAGAAACACAGCCAATTTCTTTTTAGTAAAAGGGAAAAGAAAATTGTACATGCTCAAAGAAAAGTCCTTGAAAGTACCTGACAGCCAGCTCTGACTGAAGGGGAAAGAAGGATTAATTTGAGCAATTTAGGTCTAGCAAAATCTTATTTGTTAACCCCTTTTGTTTGGTAATTCAGATCAAAGTGCTTTTGCTGATAAGGAATTTAGGGCCAAGTCACACAGGATCCTGTAGGACTAGGATTTCATCTAGGGCTCTGCTGCTGAGTGATTTAGTTGACTGAAGCCATGGTAGTTGAAACTGCTTGAGTATATCTATGCCTACACTTTATATTTTCTCCTATTCTTAGTTTTAAGTCATTGCTGGAGTTCCACACAGGAGGTCACAATTTGGACATCAAATACGATATTTTCCATCCACCGGCTAGAACCTAACAAACATTGCCTTAAATAAATTTGTGCCCATGCCAAATTCAAAATTAACTTCCCAAGCCAAGCTAGGGATGATGGGATGGGGCCAAGAGGCCCACAACTCTGCTGTTGAACTAATGGAGCTGCCTCAAGCTGCCAGTCCAACAAGGGAGACTTTTTTATTTAACATATACATTACACAACGTGTGCAATATTTTCCACATTCAATGAGAAGACTTTATTTATAAGCTGCCTGTGTTGAAATGGTCTCTTATTACAAGGAAGCAGCAAGCCAGGTTGAGCCTGGAAATGAATTCTCATTTTCTCCTTCACTGCAACATTCAGTGACATGTTGCTTATTACCTCCAAAAATATTTTGCAGATGGTTTTGGCCATTTACCGAACATACAGGCCCTAAAATAACGGCATATACCCCCAAATCTCTTCATCTTGTTCAGCCTTCATTACTTACTGGAAGAGTCAGTGAGATACTGAGTTTAGGGAATTGTATCCCCCTCCAAGAAGAGTACCTATGGTGAAGACATGCAGTTTTGTTTTCAGCCAGGGAAGTGTCTTTTGTCAACATCAGCAGTTTCAAAGGGTTTGGAATTTTGCAGACAAGTTTCATATACAATTATCAGTCTTGTCTATTAATGCAAAATTGAGTTAGCTGTTTCAGAG